AATAGAAGTTATTTGTGAAATTTTTACTCATATAATCTCAAAAAAAATTAATTGATAGACAATATGGAACTAGAAAATACGGCATAATGGAGATTGTTTAAAAGGGGTATTAATTAAAAAAAAAAGAAGTAATAAGATCTTGTGGTAGTCCTAATTCTTGTTAAAGAATACTTCAGCAAACTTCTTTACCGTTATCGTAGAGACAAGGTTATTTGAGTTAAAAAATGATTTTTATATTCCTAGATCAGCAGTTGAGGTTTTCAGACGAATTATAACCGTGGAAAGAAATTTTGTCTCTTTCATTATAAAAATACGTACACTTAAAGTTGTATTGTAATCACAAAAGTTACTTTTAGTGTGTTATGTGATTGTAGAACTTTTTGTTGTGTGGGGAGGTGTAAAGTAACAAGTAAAAAGCTGCAATATCCGCAATCACAAGGAAATATAAAACACATATGTTAAGTGCTTGGATGAATAAAAGCACAGATTGACTTAAGACTTTTCTGACAGTGTCAAAGTTGGAATTAAACTCAATAAGTATGACACTAGTAATTTTTAATAAATTTTATAGCGAAGAAGATTTAAATCAAACTTTTTCCATTTATTCATGTTGTTTGAATAAAATATTGTTTGTGCTCTCATATTAAAAGATAAGTATCGAAGAAAATTAAAACAAGCATTGAAATAAACAGCAAGGCGTCAAAATGTGCACACATGTTAATAACGATTACTGTTGGAGAATTATTCTGTTGAATGTTTTGAAAGTAGCCTGTGGCCTTTTAAGTTTCAAAATTTGTGACTTTTAAATTTATCACGCATATTTCGTGGATAACCTTGTTAAGCTGTACAAAATGATTCAATGTTTGGGTGTTAAAGAGGGTATATAAGAGTCACAGAATTTTACAGTTTGCCTTTGTCATATGTAGTTGGTTAAAACCTTTTAACAGCGAACAAACAGTTATCAAGAAAAAAATTTTGAAGAAAAAGATTGGTTAACTGTCTGTGCCATTGCAATACTAGCCATTATGTAATCATATGAAGCGACTAAAATTTAATTAAACAAAAAAACTACACTTTACAATATACAAGGTGTTTCTGTAAATTGTAGCATAATTTTAATCACAAATACGTGTAAATATTTTTGATCTAAACCCATAAATGGCTAAGAAGGGCGTTCAATGTTAAGAAATTTTTAAACATTTTCTTAAATATTTTCAATATGGTTTGTCTTAGAAAAAGTAAATTCGGCAAACAGTGCAATGTTATCATAAGAAATCGTTTAAGACCATTATTGAAAATACAGGTGTTCACAAAGATTGTTTCTTTAAAACTTGTTTATTGTGCCATAAACCATTAAACTTTCCAACTGATTCTAGAAGCTTTATTCATGTTTAAAATTTTACATGTTTTTCTGACGTTATGTAACGTCACTTTTTTTATAACTAATTATGTAATGAATTCCATTACCTAACTACAACATGATAAATTGATAATTTGTCACTAATAGAATAAGTCAAGTGTTGAACAAAAATTGCTTTTTCAATGGAATTAGATAAAATTTTGTACTTAACACATTATAAAACGGTTAATTTTGTTTAACTCACGTAATTTGCAAATAATATGATAACAATATTACGTTCGTCAAACAAAATTAGTCTTTTCATAATTGGTTACGTAAATGAAACTCGAAATGTTTTCATTAATCGTAGGTGCCTATGAAAACAAATTGTAAATAAAGACAACCTGACAGAAAAACATTTCTAAACATCGAAAGACATTTATATGAGACAGGAAATTTAAGACAGAAGTATATAAATAATGGGATATCGGGAGAAGAAAACATTTTGGATTTTGTGGTATATCGTACTACTGCTAGTACTGTTGATAGCAACTGTTTAGACATTTCAGAATATCCAAAGGTACGTGGCATGTCCTACATGAACGGCAATTGTATCATCTGTTGCAAGTACAGCGTTGCCATACTATGATGGAAAAATGTATTATTGATGCTGCGGTTTTAGAAAAAAGTACTTTTTACAGATAACCATAAAATTAAGAAATGTTGAAATTTTTAACTTTGATGGTCTATATCTTAGCTATTTATGGGTTTAGACCAAAAACTTTTACACGAATGGTCATCATTTTGAGTATAGTGTTTGTGATTAAAATTATGCCACTACTTACAGAAAGATCCTGTATAAGTTTTCATTTTTTCTTCCACCGGTTTCTTCATCATCACCATCATCAGGCAATGGCTGGAAATATGTTTTAAACCGAAATATGTTTCAAACTGAAATATGTTTCATAACATTTTTTTAAGTAAGTGTTATGGTTTTGTTAAAGTTTAAATTAGAAATGGTTTATCAAAATTTATTACAATATATTATATTTATATTAATTATTTATAACAAGCATTTCCTGATAATGGTGGTAGGACACGAAAAGTGCAATTTCACTCACAAGATGATAACAAAATTTACCAAAAAAATAAAGTTAATTAAATTTCATTAAAAGTAATGAACAATATTTTGACGTTAATATACAGTTTTTTCTAAATTGATGCGAACAATTTTAAGGAGTGATTCTTCAGCAAAAATTAAGGGGGTCGTTCATGTAACTTTTTGTTCAAAACTCTTCCCTACTGAGTTACAGCACTCTAAAGTTAGGGGAAAAAATTGTTTTTATTTAATAAATCCACTATGGAGAAATATAGAAGAATGAAATTTAGCAGATAACTGTTGCTAATAAAATCACACTTTTTGACGATTTTTATAACCGGAAAATATTATTACAAGGGGCTAAAAAAATCAACCCCTATAATACTTTGCATCAAAACTTCTTAAATAGAGGGATTCAATACGCAACTTGTGTGTTTCTTAACTTCTAAAATTGTTAGTTTGATCACAAAAAAATTAAATAATACACAGGCTCAAGTGAATTAATTCAGAGATTGGTTATTAATAGTCAAAGAAATGAAGTTATGTCAAATTAATCTCAGCATTATTTTATTTTTTGTGATCAAACTAACAATTTATTAGTTGTAAAATGTCAAGGGAGAAGAAAGTTGCAGATTTTTTCCCTTAACTTTAGAGTGCAATAACTTGGTGGAGAAGAGGTTTTGAACAAACAGTTATATGACCCCTTAATTTTTGCTAAAAAATCACCCCTTGAAATCTTTCCCATCAAATTTAGAAACAACCTGTATGTTTGAAATGTATAAAAATTTAGACTTTTCTTTTAGATTATTTGTTTTTTAAAATGATCTCAAAATATGATATATCTTAATGCAAACATTAGTGTTTCATACAATCAAATACACAAAATTGAGAACAAAGAGCAATTTATATAACTTAAAAATAAAATCTGTAACAAAAACATATTACATTTAGATATAAAAGCTTTTGCACGTTGTTATACTGAATTTGATAAAAAAAGAATTGTATCTACATACCCCTATATCATCTATGTCTTCACATGCAGAAGAAAAAGATCACCTTTATTGTGATCGACCAAACAACTCATTATATCTGAAATCCATTTAATAAAATTTAAAAAAAAATCTTAAAATTTTCTTCACACTCCATTCGTGTAACTGGAATTATGTGAATTAAATTTACAACACCTTAATTCTGATTCATATTCACCTTTATGTTAAACAATCCAATAATCACATTGTATATCGTTTATAAAATAGAAATTCCTTATTTTTTAGGGAGTATATTTTTTTGTAATGAATTAATAAAAAATTAAAAGATCGTATACTGTATAATAGAAGCTAAGAACTGCACAAATAACAAAGCGGTTGTACAGTGTATTTTTTAAATATCTATACAATGTTATCATTATTCTCGCAATTTTTTTTGTTCATTAATTACAATATTTACTAAATAAATTAAATAATTTAAGGAGACCAGTAGAATTACAAAATACTGATAATCACTGACCTATTTAAATTTAATCGTATTATTATAGATTATTACGTAATAATAACTAAGTAGTACAAGTATTCGTAAAATTACGTGTACCTAAAAACTTGTTTTCTTTAAATAAAAAGAAATATTAATGTTTACAGTTATAGTTTATAATATATTCATATTGCACTGTTTTAAAAATCCAGTGACGTCGAGTATGGAGTACAGTAATAATAATTAATTAATTAATTAATAATAATAATCCTCACGTCATGTCAAAGTTTAAATATTTATAATATTTATATTTATATATCGATTATACCTTATATACAATTATAATATCTTCTTTGTTTTTTTATGCGTTACGCGCTTAAACTCATTTTGTACATAAATATTTATTCATCTTTCAGGCTATGAGAATGACTTTGGTGTACCTCGTATAACAGTTTACAATTATATATATCAGCGAATTACGGTTGCAAGAATCGTGTTTGAGTCACTTCTTATTGAAATTGAAAACACGCCTTTCCGTGAAATTACTTGTAAAAATCAAAAATTACAAACATCGACGCTTACAAGTAAAAATCGGAAGAGAGGGTTATCAATTTTTAAAAGAGAGATTGATGACGAGATATTTTTGCAAAGATTTCTTTATAAAACGACCGATCCAACAGCAGGTTTAAAATATCACAAGTTAAGGTAACCCAAAAATTAAGGCAGCACTATACTAAGTAGCACCACTATAACAATTTACAAAAATATTTTTTTTCATATATATAGTCAACGCGAAATATCAATTTTGATGATTAATAATTGGGTTACTCCAACTGATTGTGTTGGGAAGTGATCGTATTTTTACCTTAATTTTTTTCATTTTTTTTTAAATGACGATGATGGTGAGTGATATGAGGATGCAACATTCAAAAAATTAAAAACAACATTGTTCTGTACACGTACGAAAACGACCATAAAGATCAAATAAAAGTTTAAAATTAGATTAAGAATTAAAATTAAACAAAAGATAATTTGGCCCGCAAATATTGATTTTATTTATTTATTTTTTTCTAATTTTAAACTCATTTAATCGCTTGGTTTTAAATTATTATGCTGCAAAAATGTAAACAACAAAATAATAGAAAAAAACAAAATAATAATAATTATGTAGCAACAAGAGTTTGATGGAAAAATAATTCCTAACTAAAAGATTTGTAGTGTACAGGTGCCTGGAGTAATGAAAAAAAATTGAAATAGGACAATTATAAAAAAGCCCAATAATTTGATGAATAAATTAAAACTTAAATGTTGCGATAAACGTGTGCGTTGTAAAAAATGGATGGTAGAGTAAGATTGTCGGAAAGCGAATGAGGAATGTCAATTATATTCGTAATCATTTCTCAATGTGATGTGACCGAAGTGCATCGAAAAACCTTTTTTTTTTAAAGTCTACTTAAGAATACAAAGATAAATACCACGAAAATACACGATCCTAATTTTGAATTTAGAACAATCAGTATACATATACACAACAGTCTTTTATATAGAAACTGGCCGAAACTTTGGCGTTTTCTCGATAAATTTTATAAAACCGTCCAAAAACGTACTACTACTCACTAAAATTCATTTTGTTTTTATTTTTTCTTTTTGTTAAATACGTTAACAGTTAATTGAAATATGAGAGAAAAAATAGAAAAATAATAATTAAAAAATTAATTAAGCGACGTCGAATATAAACGTAGATTCGGCTCGTCCGGATTTGTTTGTTCCTTCTTTTTGTTTCTGACAAACGTACCAAAAAAAAAGAGGGAAAAAACGAAAAATAAACTAATAATAATTTATCACATTACATTGTAGAACCTCAAGCGCTCATTCGCCACGACACTCCGTAAGGGGCTCTAATTTAATGGAAGTTATTGGGTCCTTTTGCCTGTTTGAATTCGATCCATGCATTGGTTTGACGAGTTCGTCAATATCTTCATGAAATAATGTATCAGGCCTTGGTGAAGCAAATGTTCTAGGCGGTTTATACGCCCCCATTCCTGGTATAGTCAACGCGCTAACGTCCATGTTATTACCCATACCCATACCCATGGACGGTTCCATTGAACTCGAAACCGTTAATCCTAACGGGGAAGATATCGGACTTTCTAATCCAGACCCAGCTGGACTTATTCTCAGATCTTGTATACTTCCAGCTGGACTAGCCATTCTCATCGAAGCCATATGGCTCATACTTATCGGCGGAGCTCCATTACTAGCCATGGATACTCCTCCACAATGACCGGCGAGAGCTAAAGAATTCACCAAACTCGCCACTGGATTTGTATCGTGAGCTGAACTTTGATGTTGCGCTGCTGCCACCATACTACACATTTGTTGTCTCAAACCTTGAGCAACAGCTGCTACTGCTGCTGCTGTTGCTGCTGCTCCCGGGGATACATTAGATTCTTGTCCATTACTACTACAATTATTATTAGGGTAGTTTTGCATATTTACACCATCCTGAAAATCAAATAAAATTTGTTAAATTATTTAAAACAATTTTTATTTGTAAAATGTTAAAAAAGAAGCCCTTACCCAACAATTTTCAGCACGATTTTCTTGTGGTTTCATAAGAGAGTCCCAATCTTTTTCTTGTTTAGATGTAAATTTGCTGAAATTTGTGACGTTGGGTAGGGCTTTTAGTGGCTGTAATAATAGATAAACTTATAGGTTTTGTATCAAAAAAAAAGGTAATATTAAATTTTGAGGCAATAAAGGTAAGTGATGGATATAATGTTTAGGACATCGATATAGGAATTTATTGATAGTTTATTTATCTTGAGATAAAAGTTGGTAGAAAATTGGTAACGTATTGAGTCGAGCAAATACAAATGCATAACATTTTCAAGAAGTGCGAGCAACCTTTATAAGATAAACTGTTGTGAATATTGACGTTCTATTTAAGAATACGTCAGGAGTAACTGCATCAATTTTTAATGTTTCACTTTGAATAGTGACCGAGTAATAAGGTTCTAAATAACATTCTGTTAAGGTTCTAACTAAAACAACTATTTCAAATGTTGACAAATGTGTCCGAATGATTTTACTTCTTCCTATTAAATTTTTCCAAGTTTTGAAGAGATGAAAATTTTGGATTAGTTAAGGAGTTTTGGTAGGAGTTTTATGCAACGCTACAAAAGATTTAATAACTAATTTTGAATAAATTATCTAGAAATTATCAGAGTTAAAAAGTGTCATAATATGTTGTAAAGTATTAAACCTGAGGATCATTTAAAGCATTTCAAAACGATAAAATGTGTCAAAAGTGTCAAGTGTTACAAAATTATCATATGTATCGAATATAAAAAAGAAACACAATTGGATATTTCAGGGAAGTAAAGAAAAATACATAATTTTACGACATACACCAAAACAGTAAATAAAAAATAGTGTATTGAAATTTAGTCTTTATACTAAAGAATGATAGAGGTGGTAATATCTTGAAGCCTATGCGTCAAGTACTCAGTGTTTAATTACATTCGTCATCAAAAATCAATACAGATATAATGACGGACATAAAATGCTTCCTGTGCAACGCCCAACTACTAATCACCACCAATTAATTACACTGGATTGTGTAATTGAATAGAAGACAATGAGACATTTTCAACATACGCCAAATATCATGTTGGATAGGTCTACGATTGTAAAGAAAAACTAAACTGTAAATTTGTAGTTACTTCCACATCTGTTGCTGAAAAGTATGACGGTGAAGACTTCACTGAAGTCTAGTATAAAAATTAAGCCGTGGAGCAGAGGTCAAAAAATAAGGAAGGCGAAGAATTCTCGCGATTCTCGTAGCGCCTTTGCCCCAATATCTGGGTACAGCCAAAGCATTCACACTCAACCAACCTAAATCGATCATCTCTACCGAATGTTCGTTAAGAAACTCGAAGAAGAAGAGGCAGAAACCCATTCTATAATAAAAAATGATATATTAAGATGCGTTTCTGTCGTATTCAGTGATGGGGAGACCAGACATTGATATTCAAACTCGTGAACAATCTATTATTATTAAATGTAGAGAAGGAAAAATCTGCTATCTTTATAGTACCAGTAAGACGAGTATATGCAGAATAAGCTGTAAGGGTACGACAAAAACAACCAAATAATTTTCCAGTCGTAGTAGTGGACGAAATATCTTAGTTAATCCTGATGTGGGTTCTAGGATTTATGCATCTGACTCACTGTTGCGCTTCCACTCGATTACAATGATAAAAGATACCAGTGATATTTGGAGTGCTGTAGTAAGGGTAGTGTAATACAAAATGCATCATATCAGAGTTGCAACCCATTGCCGTCATCTTGACATGACGAAAAATATTATTGCATTAATCCAAGAAAATTGGGTTATTAAATCAAGATTTAAAACTCTAAGCTGTTCTATTTAAATTCCACAAGGGATGGAAAGTTAAAAATTGCAATTTAACTAGACGAAGAAGCTCAACCTACTTGACATACTTGATAACTTTTCATCGGATGATCAACGCGCACTCAACTATTAGGGGTTCTTGATAATTATAAACGTAAGCTTTCTAAATTTTATATTCAGCAGTTATTTGGATATACTTCAATGAATCTCTTCAATAGAACAAAAAACACTAAATTGAGCACCGTCTTGGACACCTATGGGGGTTTCAACTAAAAATACTACTGTCAAATAGACAAAGATAAAGGTCATAAAAATTGCCACAAACTTTATTACAAAAAGGAACAGACTTACGTTGATCGCAAATCTGTTTTCGATCTGAGCATGGATCATCATCAATAAAGAATTAGTCAGTTATTCCATTGAGACAGTTCAGTTTATTGTAAAGTTTAGCAAAAAAAGCATCTTGTGGCTTGCTACATGACTCGTTACAAGTTACTAAAACTTAAAACTGGTCCATAATCTTTTATGCAGATCTTTTATTGACGACATCGAGATGCTTAAATATGTTTTGTGTTCCCACTTTGTAGTATCATAGAATCAGAGATTTCGAAGATAACTGCTGAGCATGAATGATATTAGAAACACACCTCTAAGTCTTATCACTATCTGTGGTAACTCATTATGCTCTTTGATTTGTCAAATATGGTTTCTCAGCGTTTATGAGACAATTTTTGTTTGTTTAAGAGGCGTGTTACATATTAATAGCACACAACTTATTTCTGACCAAAAGCAGACCTTCAAGCTTTATTAGGCACAACGTTATATTTTTTTGAAAAGGCATCGGTCTTTTAATTGCATCAGAATCTGAAATTCATTATTTATGAAGAGTATAATTAAAGGGTTATACTAATTTTTATATTTTCATTAGAAAAGATTTATGAGAAATTATGATTAACAAAAGTTCAATAATCTAAAAGTCAATTAGAACTTTAGATCGTCACTATTCGGGTAGAGTTGGAAAAGTTTTGGTATCTTGCTTAAAAATATCAAGACTATGATTTGAAGAGTCCATTAAATGAAAAGCTACATAAGCGATATCCAGTCGAACTTGCAATCAAATCGTAATTTGAAGTGTAAGGATTTGTCAGTAAGACACTGAGATGGAACGAAGTGAAAAAGGGATGGTTATGTTGAAATGGAAGGATGTAGCGATGCTCAAACATGGTGGAGATTTTATATTTTATATTTCCTTCTTGCATAACTATGTAAAGTTAAAGAAAAAACAATCTAACCTGAACAAATGAGGAATACTTTTGCCACAAGCATATCAGTCAAAATAATAACTGGTGTTTTTGAATGAGTTCGGCAATGAATAAGGAGAAGATTGGGATTTGAAAAATGATTGTTTTGGACCACAATAAATAATAAAATATTCAGTAATAATCTATATCATACAAAAACGTTGGTGAACCAATTTTGGGTTTCAATTAAATTAAAAAAATACAAACAATCTCAGCGACTATCTTTCGAAAATTCGACCAACGATGCAGATTATATAGGATTAAAAGCAATATACCTTTTATAACTGATTAAATACAAAGTAGCTTTTTATAACTAATTAAAATGCAGGTAGCAGTAGATTTTTTCGATTATGTACGGCTGTCACATTTTATGATTAATGGAATTATGTCGTATTAATCTCTACAATACGCTCGAGTGTGATTTTAAATCTGATTAATTTTATTTTTAATTCATTCTTTCGAGAAAAAACTTTTGAAGTAAAATTAAATCATCCAACGTTAAAAAATGAAATTTAACAAATAATTTATCATCCTATATCGCTGTTTTAAACATTATCTCCGGAATAGTAGTAGTTTTAGAAAAAAAGGCACAATATAATAAAATGAGATGCTTACGTGTTGTATACGAGGGTAACCCAAAGGTTCCTCCTTGATTTGATGAGAATCCCGGAACACTACGGCTCTGATTACGCCCCTAATGTGTTCATCAGGCCATACTCCAAGTAAAATACGTTGTGGGCGACCTCTTCCTTTTGGTCTGAGATCTGAATAAGATAAAAAACAAAATAAGTTTTTTTAAATAATTAATAATTTAGATAATTACGTTTGAACAAAAAATCGAAATAAGATATAATTATTATTTTATGGTTATTAAAGGATACTATTAACTTATTTCGCTGTCAAGGTTATCTATTAAAAATAATTTACGAGTAAATAATAATTATATACGCCACCTTTTAAATCTTTAATTTATCTTTGACGTTATAATCAAAGTTAAAATTAAAATAAAAACTTAACTGGTACTTATTAAATCATTATTTTTAATAACTTTTTTTAATAACACTTTGAAAATATAATTGTTTTATAAACCGATTTTTATTTATGATTTCATCGTTTCATAGAAATGCGAATCAATTTAAACAGAATTTTCGAGAAATTGAAATAAACTTTCTATGTTTTAATCCCAGGAATTATATGAAAACTGATTATCTTTAAATTCCGCGAAAATAAATAGTCAGTAAATTGGTTCTATTTCTTGAAATTAATGATTAACGTACCTGAACCTCCATCAGCAGATGGCCCCAACATGTTATGAACTCGATTTGCGTATAAAACGAATGTTGGATATGGAATATCGTATTTTCTTGCCGCTTGTGAGAGTGATAATCCTTCTTTGAGCACCGAGAATATGGCTTCGGCCATGGTTTCAGGCCTCCAAGATTTCAACGGTCCTCGTTCGCGAAAACGCAAGTTATGAACTAAGCTTTGATTGGTATTCCAACATTTCTGCCACATCGATTGAAGTTGATACTGGTAGCTATCTGCTGAAAAAATGAGCACCAAGTTAGTATACCGTTAAACAAGTTATTTATTTATTTATTAAGAAAAACTAGATGAGTTGGTAAATGTAATAATAAAAACTTAAAAAAAAATCAAAGTAGTATGAAGATAATAAAACCAAACTCTGCTAGTTTTTTGATTATATCTAATTTATATTTAAAACTAACAATATACATGTTATAAAAAATTATTATTACCAAATGTGTTGATTTTTATCTGAAACAGAAGAAATAATTACACGTGTGAGGGTTGGATAAAAAATTATTAATGTCACCGTTGTATCTGTAAAAAGAATGAGTTATGATTTCTTTATTTTTATAAAATTACTGCAGCGGCGTTATGTTCCCCCGTGGGGTAATTTCTATAATTGCGAAAATGATGTAGAAAACGATGTCGCGTTTTTTAGACCCTCGTGTACCTAATGGGCGCTTCGTCGACGCACCATAAGAAAATGTAGTCAACGAACACAAAAAATTTTATATGGTGAATAATGAAACATTCACGTTCACGACGATTTACAGCCGAGGGGGTATTGTGGTGTAATAACATCACAATATATCGTTACGCTATTGTCTTTGCTCAGGCCCTCATTTGTAGCAAATAATCCATGTTATTTCCGTTGGCAAGGAAATTACATTAAATTCGAACGAACGATGGATACAAAATAAACTAAACGCAGCTGCGTTTGAAAGTCTTTATTTCAAAAATATTTTTTTACAAACAAACGATTCAATTCTAATACTAAGAAAATAAAAGAGGTTAATAAAATAATTTTTATAGAAATGTTTTGTTTTAGGTAACAATTAAAAAAATAATAATAAGAAATATCGTAAATTGGGAAGCACTTGAAAAGGCACTTTTTAACAAATAATAAAACAAAACATTTTTTTGTACAACGTATTTAAAAAGATAAAATTTAATGTTAATTTTTATTTTTATTGCTAACGGTTTTATTCATAACTAACTAAAAAATTATAATTAAACGTAATAATATACAAAAAATGATAAGTTTTAATCCACAAAAAAAATAATTACTTTAAAAAATTGAAAAATTAAGGATGGAATGTGACTAGTATTGAAATTGAATTAAAGTAAATGTAATAGTTAATATAATATTAATAGTTTATTCATACTTTTTCATTTAAATGTTTGACTCTAAGAAACTTTTTAGGAAAATCTTTTCGTTAACAAAATAACGGAATAAAAATTCCTTCTTATTCCTACAATGAAATGAATGATATGATTTTTTTACATTGTTTAGAAAGTGAAATGTCTATCCTTGGAATGCTTCACAATACAGTGTTTGGACTGGGTCGTTGAGGACAATTGCCATGAACCGGGAGAGAACTCTTTTACAAAAGAGTGTCATGTAAAGGTTCCTTATTTTTCAGCAGCGTCACCCAAATTTTTACCCAAATTAAAACGCCTAATTTAATAACAAAACCAAAAAAGTTATGTAAAAATAAGTGCTATTAGATGTTCAAACTAGTCGACAGTTTTGGATATGCACCGCAAGCTGATATATTTCGGGTTAATCAGTTTTCAGTAAACACTTGAAGTAGCAATTAACCAATTCAGATCTCTGAACCAATCTGATGAATTAACTAATACCCTAAATGTCACATTTAAATGGAAGGCAGTTTAAGTTGTAATGAATAAATTAAGCGTAGAAATTTTTCGCTGATTATATGAATGCCGAAGTGTATGAAAATCTGTTGATAACTATTGAAAAAGTCAAGCATTTTTTGTATATTGTGCAAATGTTTATTTAAGCAAGGTTGACTAAAAAATTGCCTGTTATGAGTCTTTGCTATACCACCAAACTGTGTCTATTAAATATGTTGGAGGTAGATCATTTCCTACATCAGAGTATGTATGTATGGCCTTTACCAGGTTAACAGATGAAGAATAACGTTCAAGCTATGCAACATGTCTTCTTGATATCTTCTGGACATAATAGATGCCGAGATCGTTTGCTAACGAAGCGATGCAACCAAGACCTCAAGTTGGTGTCTTGTGAACAAATTATTATTCAAGTTCAAAGTTAAGAGTTTACTTCTGTTAACGAGAAATTACATAATCTCTTTTATTAAGAAATATTTCTTATCGATTCTCTCGTGCTGGTTTGTGCCATAAACTCGGTAATTTATACTACTACGATAAATATATTTTATTTCCATAAAGGAAATGTGTTATGGGAATGAACACGGTGTTTTGTACTATTACAGTTGAAAAATTAATTTACGTATAAATGTAAATTTACTTTATGTCGACCAAAACATACCAATTTGATTTTACCCCTTCAAGACAAAATTGAAATTTTTCCAAAGATAATAGCATAAATAAACGTACTTGCTGTAGAATTAATCGTAAAGTTCGTCAAATATTGAATTAAAGGCTGAGAAATACACTTTGTTCTAGCTAGGTAACGTTGACCTACGGCGCAAACATTAAAATATTATTATTTTGTAAGTTTCAGTGCGTTCAAAGAATGCAAAGTATTCTACGGGAAAGAATAAGTTAAGTTACAACCGCTTTGGAAATGTTATCAGATGAGTATTGAAAGATGTATATAATTCTACATCGTCTTTTAAAGAAAGAAAAGAGGAAAAATTAGAAATTAACATTATTTCGGTAAGATACAGGACCTAGCAACAAAAAATATAAACCATAGGAGAACCTTCCACAAGTGATAAATTACTATTATAGTTGATACCAAGTGTTGAACAAAACAATAATTATGTGGGGTCCTATTAGTGACAATAAAAGAATCGTAGAAAATCATTCTGACATTAAAGCGAGTTTGTTGGATCAATATGACATGTTTTTAGGTTGTGTTAAAACTTGGCGCAACACTATGCGGATTGCAGACTCAACTAAAAAGACTCTTATTCTGGATATTCTAAGAGAAACTTGTCTGTCAAAAATTATACCTAATTCATTTGCAAAAGTTCTGGAGAAATAGAATTTAAATAGGTATATTTCTCGATTTAGTTATCATTGCACAGTATAATTTCATTTTCCAGATCTAATGATATTCTACAACTCATCACTGATGAGAGGAGTCTAGTGGTACCGTAAGCATTTCATAGAATTCATTACTAGACATCAAAATATAGGTTTGCTACTTTACTATTGTTTTTTGGTTTAACTTAAGCTACTTTAAATGTTTGACTTGGTTATATATATAAAATAAATACAGTACTTTTCTTCGTAGCTTATGAATTCTTCAATTTATTTGTAGGTATGCTTTTAGCGGGTGCTTACAACCATCGTCACACTTTCAACACAACAGGGGTAGTTTTAACGCAGCCTAGTCAGACAAAGACATAATATATCACAAATCGTTGTCGTCGAATGAAAATGGAATTGGACAAAAATCTCACGAATCAAAGCTACACAAGTGTTATTTGGAAAGTTTAGGCAGTTGAAGTTATTGGAAACAGATTCTATTATTTAAAGAGTGGATGGAGAAGAACTATATTACAAAGTATGTAGTAAAGAGTTTACTTGTGGATAATTTGCAAACTTAACACGTTCAAGGCATCATTACTGAACTTATCTTAAAAAACCTCAATGTCATTTTCTCCATAATGAGTTAACAGTAGTATTAATGGTTATGATATTCATGTTGTGTTGGAACATTTAATAATGGTGACATTGATTAAGTAACTAATAACTCAAGTTCCGATCAACTTTTAGACCTGATCACATGAGAACAATTAGTTCTAGATAAGAACTCAAATGCGTGTCTTTTTGTATTTTCATTCTTAATGCAGTGGAGAGAATCAAAAATCACGAAAATGATCAATACTTTTCCTTGATGTATGTCATCGGTATAAATGCAAGAAAACTAGCACAATGTAAGTATTATGATGTGTCAGCAGTATTCAACATAGTAAGCCTCATGCCATATAAACGAAGATTTTGGCCGATATCAAATACAATGATTAGCTAATAATTTTAAATAAATCTAGCACCTAAATTGGTATAAATATTCCATTCATGATTAAAATGTATACTCAAATCATAATATTTGGTTGTGTTTTGTGCTACCAACATTATGTGAGTAAAGTTTGGCTAAATCTTGGTTGATAGTGTTAGTTGGTTCGAGTCTGGTCTAAGTAAAGGTTTTGATGGACGAGTATATAAAACAAACTTCATCAACCGCTAAATCTTCATAGAAGGTCTCATAAAAATAATTACTAAATAGAACTCAAATCACGAACTAAATGCTAATCCTAAAAAATAATTCAAAACATTTTATTACCATAAATTTTCTTTCCTCTAAAAACAATTTCAACTAAACTCTGAATTAAAAAAAACACCTTTTTTATACTTATAACATCAACTACTAATGCATTTACTTTAATTAATTATCATGATGGAATAAAAAATTAACCGAATAAATCAATTAAAATTACTATTAATTAATATAATTATTATTTAATTCATTATTTCTTTTGTAGATCAATTTCAATTTGCGATATTATTTCAATCTAAATAAACTTAAAAATATTATGTACAAATTGTTCAATTTACATTCATGTATAAATACATTATCCAACATAAATATAATATTCTAGAACGAGTTGTTTGCGAACGTCGAGGGAGTTTAAAAACGTAAAGGATATCGGTTAGTGTGTAGAGCGCGACAAAACTAAAACATGTGTTCTGTATTTGCGCAGCATTGCATGACAACTACATACAACAGTCATATAACACAGCACGCATATATTATTAACTGCAATTAGATGCATAAATATAGTCACAGCTCTCTCTCTCTCCCTCTACGTACGTTTACACTGTAATTAATGCAATAGTAATAATGGCACATTGATGTGCATTACGCAAAAAAGAAACGAATGGAATGCAAAAATAGAGGAAGCACGCTTATTGAACATATCAATAAAGAAATTAACATAAAATTAACAAGAATATATTGAGGAATGTTTCATTTTACTAAAGTTAATTATTGCTATTT